CTATGTGCCAATCTATGATAACTATGATCATGATGATATTTGAATCGCATCGAGCAATTACAGCAAGCATGTTTTTATTTCACCAATGAATGTTTAATTATTCTGTCTAAAGCTATCTTCACAATAAAATTTATAATTACACACAAGGCATATATATGACACTTCGGATTCATATAATACGCAGGAAATTCTATTTTTGACGCTGTTTTATGTGGATTTGGATAAAATCAAAAATCAAAATTTGGATAAAATCAAATACATAGTTTAATAAACAAAACAAACATTTCTTCATATTGCACAGATTCTCTTAATATATCTTCCTTATTTTCTGCATGTTCTAAGTTTTGCTCCTCTTATAGATATTCCACTTACATTTTCAGCAGGTACTGCTCTTTCTGCTCATAATTCCCTTGCTTTTTTATGTAAAAATGTTATGTTCATTTTTTCAAAACTCTCCTTTTCTTATTTTTTCTCCATGTGTTTTAACTTCTCATCCTAGGTATATTAAACATCCCATACATTTAATTCTTCAGTGATATTTATTATCTTCAGCGTATTTTTTAGACGTAAATATCTGAAAAATACAAAGCATCTTTAAAAGTTACAGAAAACAATAAGAAAGACAGAGGGATAAATTAAACATTTTGTTCTTAAAAAAGATATTAAAATATAACTAACATCCAGTATCAATTTAATATATTCAAATCACTTCTTTTACATTAAACAGATGTATTAGTAAACTCACATACTAATGCATACATACACATATGCTTATACAATAATGATAAATAAAAATTATTTGGAAACACATATGTCATAAACTAAAAAATAATTTTTATAAACATAATATATATATACAGTTCGTAATCTAGACGTCCATTATCCGGAATGATCTATTATCCAGACCTCAAAGCCACAAACTTTTTTTTTTGGTATGGTTTACGCATGCGCATTTAATGTATAACAGATGACAGTATAAGCTAGGCTAAAATTATCTTTACTGATTGTAAGGCATTTCAGTTAAGGTCGCAGATTGCACTGTTCTTTAATCTTCTAAATGGATCCAGCTCATTATTTTTTGAAGACTGTTAGAGCAATTTTATAAAAATTAAGCTTGAACTTTTGATTATGTTAAAAAGAGTTTCCAATTCTGGAGCTGCCAAAAGATCTACAAAGTGAAAACATGTTTCGATGTCCATCAAACAGAAAGTGGAATTGCTGCAAAAAATGGATAAAGGCATGAAGAAAGTGACAGAGAGGTTAGTGAAAGTGAAAAAAATTGACAAATTTCAATTCACAAGTTAGTCGCTATTCTCAACACAGCAATTTCAGGTAGACAGTATTCTCGACACAGCAATTACAGGACTTGGAACAGTGGAACTTTATAACTGAACAAGAAATTATGTCTGTTTATAGAATTAAAGAGAAAGTATTAGCACAAAAAACGAAGCAACTTAAACAACTTACATTGAAAGAAATATTTAATAAAGTAAACAAATAAATATTAAGTTTTTTTTTATAAAATTTGATACCCTTTAGATCAAATTGCTCTTTATTTCATAAATTATGGTTTAATATTTTTAATTGTAGAATTTCTGCATGCCATCTTACCAGAGATAAATTGAGGATCTATAATCCGGAAAAACCGTTAATCTGGAATTGCCGAAGTCCCGACGAGTCTGGATTACAGACTTTGTACTGTATATAACATAATTAATTATAAATTAAAACATGTATGGAATTAAAAGGAACATCATTTAAATGTGAGGATTTGCACAAAACAAATAATAATTCATGTATGCGCACAGCAAAATTAATACAAGGTGATTAATACTAATTTTAATTCTTTTCAAATGTATTTACCATAAAAGTTTTATTTTCTAGCATTTGAATATAACAAAATGCACTTGAATAGTAAAATCTTTGAAACACAGTTTAGTATTAAAAAGCATTTTATAGAAAAAACTATTACATGCCTCAAAAAGATTTCTCATAAATGCACAAGTGGCTAAGGCCGCTGAAGAATGATAATTTGACACAGGTTCAAACTCCAACCAATGGGTTTGTTACATGAATATTTTCATAGTTTATTCCATATGTAATGTAAATAAACAACTCTTATCAGCAAGTCTTCCATAAAGGAATTCCTCACCTTAAAAAATAACTTTTTATATTTTACCACATTCAGCTAAAGAAAGTAATACTCATGCTTTTTAAAAAAATCTCAGCAGATGCAGAACAGTCAACAGAAGTATCTGTCACATCCTTCAACAGGTTCTATAAAGAATGCTTAAATAGATGTATGTAAGTTAATAACAAAAGGAACTACATCACTTTCATTTCCGTGGATGGTGAGGGAAAGAGAAAAATTCAATATGAATAGTCTTAAGTTATTTTGAAAGCTATAAATAAGATAAACAGAAATTTTGCAAAAGAATTTTTCCTTGAAGGAGGCTAGATAATATTCAGCTTTTTCACTCTTTCTACTAAGAATCTGCACAATCATGCATATGGTATTTTTGATTAATACCATGCATTACAGAAAGCGAATAGCATTTTACATGCTATGCTTTCTCATTATGTATCTATCATTGTAGTAACATGACCAAATGGATCATTATTAGTATCAGAGGAAAAAAGCTTTAATCTTTCACAAAAAACACAGCATTGTGGTTAAGAGGATGAAAGAATTTCATCCATATCACCTTAAATTACAAATAATTTCTAGTATATCTGATTCAGATAAAATTTTATACTGTAACTAATTGTTTATACTTAAAAAATTAGTTATTCTCAATCCTTTCTTTCTAGATGTGATTATAGCAATGTATTTATTTCAATGTACCAAGAACGGAATTTGAAGCAACAAGAATAAATATTACTAAACTTTACTGCAGATATTTGCTTACCCACCTTTTCTAACATTACTATGCTATATTCTGTATTCTACACCTTATGTTTAAAAAAATATTTATCAAATATATTAAACTCCATTGCATTATACTACTCATGCTTACATACAAAACTATACACATATTTATAACTTTTAGAAACTTTGTTTATGCTTCTAAAATATTCAATTTTTTGTATTCTTTACTAAGATATTAGTACGATATTTCATTTTTATATTCATTTACGATATTTCGTTGTACAAAGTCTCTATATATACTTAAAACTTTTTTAAATTTTTTATTTTGGACTTGGAATAATTTTCTAATTCATGATTTTATATATGAATGAAGGCTAGCAGGCTCAAAATTTACAAAATATTTTTGTATTCACTAAGAAATGATTGTTTTACTGGAGAAAGGTAGTGAGTTGATTTGATATTAATGATTAGCACTATTCCTTCATCTTTCAACTAACTCATAATTTTATTTATTAACCAACTTAAAATTTTATGATTATTTTCAAATCATAGTTTATACTTTTACAGTTGAAGCCTCCTTGCTATAAGACATATATTCTCAAAAAAAAAAAAAAAAAAAAAAAAAAATAAATAAAATAAAAATAAAATAAAAAGGGAAATAAACTCATTAATTATTAGACAAAAGATGAAGAATTCAACAAAGAATTTATACACTATTATACTCTTCCACTGCTTATGAAGCAAGCATAAAATTATTATATATAAGAAAATGAAAATTATACCCTCAGTTGCTATACAAAGAAAAAAAAATCCCATAAATGCCGCTTATTAAGATTTACTTTTCTCACTTAGGATATAAAAACAAGACATCTATCTCACTATAACATTAACCGTTGGAAATTTTCAATTTTACACATTTAGAAAATCAATATTTTGCAATAAATTCCTCATTATGAGCAAAATCTGTTGCTTCAATGGCTATGTTAACTTTTAATAAATTAGTATTATTATACAAAAGAGTATTCTCACATAAAATGCAAAGGAAAATAGGTTCAATGAATGAACTAGAAGTGAATATTCACATGTAAAAAATATTCACTTCATGTAAAATATTGACTTCAAATGAAATTATGACCTTGGTTAAGTTATTTTTTAATCATATGTCAGTTTCATTTTATTCAGTTTGCTTCATGTACAGCTTACTTGATTATACCTTTCAAATAAAAGCATAACAAAATAGAATAAACTATGCAATATAGATAAAATCATGGAAGCATATATTCTTCAAATAAAAAACAAACATGAAAAAATATAATAAACAATTACTTTTATTATATTAGATTTTAAGCTAATAAGTAAAAATGTTACAAGTTACTAAAAAATAAGAGAAATCAATGCATACTTTTAACATAAATAAAGTTCAATTACATGACATGACCATGTTCAATCCCAGACATGTAGCAAAACTATACAATATGTGTCAAAGAATGAGGAAAGCTAATGCATTCAGTTACTAAATTCTAAAAATATGCACCAGTTATGGCCCTGGTTGACGAAAATACATAACAACAATTATTTATACAATTCCCTGCTTTACACTATATCAGATAGGGACATTTCACTGCAATAATGAAAAATAAAATTTACATCAAACAAAAAATTTTAATGAATAAAAATCATTTATGCAGGAAAATATTTATTTATGAAGAGACAATAAAATAAATTTTTGAATTATTTTTATAAACATAAAATAGAAACACACAGAAGAACAATGCTTGCAACAAATTCTGAAATTACAAGATAATAATTTAAGTAATTTAGAAATATAAAGACAATGCTCGATTTTATTCAGTTTCAGAAGATGTCATATGTGACAACTTATGACGATTACGAGTATTTCGATGCGTAAATCGCATTGGGCAGTAATTGCAAGTGTATGGTTTTTCTCCAGAATGAATTAAAAGATGCTGTCTTAAACTATCACTGCGGGTAAATGAATGATTGCAGACAAAACATATATGTGGTCGTGCACTTGAATGTATTAAACGATGTTTTGCATACTGTCTCCTTGATGAAGTCCTATAAGAACATAATTGATGACGACAGTAATATTGTTCATTATAGAATATACGCATTCCTTCATCCTTCTGCACTAGTTCTGTTCTATCTAGTCCAACTGTTGCAGGAGCATTTGCAATATTTGTGATATTAACAGCATCTTCAGTCTTATCTAAATCTTTTTTAATCATGTAATCTGTAAAAGATAAAAAAAAAAAAAAAAAAAAAAAAAAATTAGAAAAAATACATTAAAACATACAAATTAGTACTTGAATTCAGAAAATTTATGAAATGTTAAATAATTTCTATTTATGATGTATCTTAATACAAACAGATTAACACAATGCATAAAGATGAATTTAACATTTTTTCTTTAATTCAATGCACATTTATTTAATCCAGAAAATGATGAAAACATGTTCATAATTACACTGCTCATAGAACACTGTTAATATTAATACAAAGTCTCTTTTATATAGATCAATAATAAATAATGCAAAAACAAAATAAGGTTAGTTATGAATAGATATAGACAAAAAAAGTGTGACTTATCTCACTTGTCTGACAGTAACATCAGAACAAGCCCACAAAATTCATCGTGGCAAGGAGAGCAAGATTATGCATGTCATTGGCTAGAGTTACATCCCAATTTTGATTGAGAGCACCTGGGGTGGCAGGTCCAAGAGTCTCCCACCCCTCTTTCCCTACCCTCGAGAGGACTTTTGGTTTTGCCATGTATTTAGAGGCATACCATGGCATTTACAAACATACGTACCTTTTCCGGGATTCGAGCCCGGGCCCTTCAGTAAGTAGTAAGAAATTTAGAACATAATTCACAAAGACATGAAAGAAATTAAAAAAATTTTTTTGTGATACTTTTATATATATATATATATGTAAATATTTGGTGATGCAAATGGAACTACAATAATAATTTTAACAAACAGCCAATAATAATTTTACAGCAGTATTAGTTATCCAATCAAATGCATTGAGAACCAAAACTAACTCATTCTGAACTAAAATTTCAACCTGAACACAACTTGCTTGCTTTCTACATTTTGGCCTAGCTGGACTGCTGCTTGCTGCTCTCTTCTTACTGTGAAGCTATCAAAAATGTAAACGTTTTGAAATATGCAGGCATAATTTGTCAAGTTCTTTATGGCACCAACATGTTTTAAAAATAAAAATAAATATTTAATATGCCTCAGCTGCCAAATTGCTTTTCATTACGGATTAACATCTTCAGCGTTTAAGGTATTATTGCTACAAAATCATTACTTTTAAGTCCGATTCATTACAATGATGAAATACCATATTTTTCAATCTACGTCATCAATTGTTTCTACACTATTATTACAGCTAAGTCTGCTTCATTACATATATGTACATATAAAGACATTAAAACAGCCATATTTTTAAAATTTAATTTTTCCTTATATCATACTTACTTAGAATGAAATATGCTGCTAAAGTGTAAACTATAAATTTCAAATTAATACAATATGTCAAAAACAACTATTACTGAAAACATGCAAAACAGTCAAAAGTCGTTAATCCGGACTCGTCGGGACTTCGGCGATTCCGGATTATCGATTTTTCCGGATTATAAATCATCAGTTTAAATCGCGTAAGATGGCATGCAGAAATTCTAAAATTAAAAATATGAAACCGTAATTTATGAAATAAAGAACAATTATGATCTAAAGGGTACCAAAATTTACAAAAAAAAAAAAAAAAAAAAAAAAAAAAGCTTAATATTTATTTGTTTACTTTATTAAGCATTTCTTTCAATGTAAGTTGTTTAAGTTGCTTCATTTTATGTGATAATACTTTCTCTTTAATTCTATAAACAGACATAATTTCTTGTTCAGTTACAAAGTTCCGCTGTTCAAGCCCCGTTAATTGCTGTGCCGAGAATACCGACTAACTTGTCAATCGAAACTTTTTCGTTTTCACTAACCTCTCTGTCACATTCTTCATGTCTTTATCCATTTTTTGCAGCAATTCCACTTTTTGTTTGTTGGACATCGAAACATACTTTCGTTTTGTAGATCCTTTGGAAGTTCCAGCATCGGAAATTCTATTTGACATAATCGAAAGTTCAACTTTACTTTTATAAAATTGCTCTTACAGTCTGCAAAAAATAATAAGCGGGATCCAATTCGAAGATTAAGAAACAACGCAATCATTAACGTTAAGTGAAATAGATAATTAGATAATTTTAGCTTACACCGTCCGTTATACATTAAACGCGCAGGCGAAAACGTATTCTGCACTTGCGCACACGCATATGCGCAGTAGTCAAGGTCTTACGCGCACGCGTAAAACGCCTGTGCGCAAGTGCCAACGCGGCGCATGCGCAGAAAGTTTTTAGCTTTGAGGTCTGGATTATAGATCATTCCGGATTATGGGTGTCCGAATTAACGACTTTTGACTGTATTATTTAACATGAGAAAAAGAAACAGATACATGTAAGAAAAATTCTATTGGATGTATATAATTATATTTTGTATATTCATTTAACAGTTTAAAGACATTACTAACTACATACAGAAAATAACTATTTAAAAAATTATATTATTAATTTATTTTAGATATATTGTATAGTTTATTCAAGCTTCATTTCCCTTTTTCTAATTTCTTTCGTATTAACAGCAATTTAAAAACATTCTTCATTTGTAAAAATTTGATGACTCTTAATACTTTTTATCTCATGCATAAAAATACTAAAATCCCAAGTGAAAAATGGGGAAGGGTGCACATATTCAAGAAATATTTAACATCACAATGAATGCAAGATTGCTGCCTATTTAATAACCAATCAATTAAGTAAAATCCAAAAATTATCTAATAGTCTAAAAATTTATTTAGCATCAAAGACTCATACTTGGGAATCTTTAGTCACTTATTAATAATATAACAAACATAGTGAGGAATTTTTTTTGCATATAATTAACTTCTGATATGAAAGTTATGGATCAAAAGTGACCCAAATGATAAAGCATGATTTTTATCACAATAAATGTTAGAAAGCCTTTTTTTAACAAAAAATAAAATCCTACAAAATCTAATTATGAATTTTTCCTACAGTTCTGAGAGGTAAAGAAATTAAAAACAATACTATTAAATTAAAATAATACTAATTGTAGAGACAATTAACAGTTTGATTTGGAAATTTTGCTTGGGCTAAAAAGAATCAAAGTGAAAGCAGGTAAATTTTAGTGCAAATATTGTCAATACATTAAAATTTTTACAGATGGCCATATATTCCAAAATTTTCCTAAACATAAGTGTAAGAATAGGAGGAACATACGAAGACTAGATTTCATATTTTATAAAAAATTTATTTCTTCAAATTTAAAAGTACCAAAAAAATGAAACTTTCCATCATTTAAAACATTTTTTGCAATTGAAAATATATGTCTACGATTAAGAAAATACAGGCTGGATAAGGACTTTTGTGGACATAAGATATAAATAATAAATAAATAATAATTAAAAAAATGTGAAAGGTTTCAGATTTTAAATTACATCCAAAGGGGAGTTTTTTTAAACATTATGTGTGTTACCTTTATTTATTAAATATCATGTTCTTCGTACTTAAGCCATAAAATTCAGTTCAAAAGCAATATCACAAAATAATTTAAAAATAAGCATATCTTTAGAATTTCCGATACACAGTTTCCTGCTCTGGAGATAAAAATGTTTTTCTGTACAATGCTGTCATTGCTAGCTTTGAAATCCTCGAGTTTGTTAATCAAAAATTCATTAAGTTTTACAAAATATGAAATTGATAATAAAACAAATTCCAAATTAGGGCTGTGGAAACATTCAAAATTTGATGGTTCTAGGTACCAATGTTATATCACATGCAAGAAACATACAAATTTATGCAGATTCTTCATTATTTAATTTCTTTAAATATAATACAGGGCGATAATATTTGGTGGCAACAATCTGAAAAGTAAAACAATGCTTTTAGTGAATCAATGCAAAATGCCAAAACGAAATTAATAGTCCTTCTGGGCAAATTGCTCCTTTGGACTAATAAATGCATACATCCAGACATGATAGCCAGATTCATTCTTAGAAAATGATAAATATTAAATACAACAGAAAACTAAATATAGTAAGACTTTAGTTTTTTAGTTACATTATGAAAACTGGTGATTTAATAGACATATAACAAATATCTCTCAATTAAAAAAACTAATTTAAATACCAGAAACTATTAATAATAATAAATCTGCTGTAACCAGTACGTAACTCATTAATCCTAGCTGCATAATCAGAAATTAAAAATCGAAATAGTGAAGTGATTTAAAAATATCATGCAGAATGCCAGCTGATCACTGAATGTATTTATCGCAGAATATAGTTTTATATAGTGTGTCTGGAAAAGGTGATTGCAGACCTCTTTCCTAGTAACTATTGATCATAGCAATGTGCTTTCAGTTAAAAGGTTTTTTAAAGTGATGTACAGAATTTTATGAAAACAGTTTTAGCACTATGAATGAGGAAAGTCCTGATATTGTTCTCGTAGATAAAAAATTCCAGTTAGAAAAATATTCATTATGCTTAAATATATTAAGTACAGAAAATTTCATACTTTTACACAGAAAAATTGTAGAGACAATTAATTCTTCTGTAAAGTGAACCATGACTTCAACAATAAAAGCTGTTTTATCCCAAACTGGAGAAATAAATTGTCAAAACAAGAGCTTTGAAGATGCTCTCTGTTGAAATATATTGAACATCTGTTGGAAACAGGGATTGAAAAGCAATCTTTACATAGTTATGTATAAAGATGTGCATAAAAATTCCCATCTGGAAATACATGACTAAAATCAATAGTTAAGAAAATAATTCCAGTAAGTAACCTTCATCATACCCGATACACTAATGAAGTTTGTGACAGACAGCTCATAAGCTTTTCTTCCTTTTTTAAAACATTTTATAGACACACATCATTATCCTAATCCTAAAAATAGAATAGATTAACTAATTTTCATTTCCATAAGCAGTTTTAAAATGATAATTTTTATGTGCAATAATCTGTACAATGATTCAAGGTAGCAGTCTTCTAAAATAAGATGCTGAATCATTTAATGGACTGAAAATTTTCATAAGGAAAAGAGTGACATACAACTTGACTTTGAAAAATTATTACTCTATTGAGCAGTTATTACATACAATGCCTTGCAACATGCATACATTTTCATTGTTGAAGACTGTTTATAAAAGGAAACATTGAATAATTTCTGAAAAGTTCAAAATGTTTAGTGACAAAACTTCTAAGTGATAGCACACCAGGATAAAACACACTCATCACATCCATATATTTCTAAAGTTGAGGACAACTCACAAAAAATAAATTTTGAATATTTCCTGAAATAATTAAAAGCATCTATTTAATGATAAAACTTTAAAATTTAAGCACAAGAGAAAACACATAAAACATTCCTAATAGTTTATATTAATTTAATATAATTTATACACCTTGCACAACAATTATTTTAAGTTTTTATTTCACAAAAAATGGAACACAATCATAAACTGAAATACAGGGTGATTCAAAATGAATATAGTGATTACTAACAGCTATAACTATTTAATTGAAAAGAATCTATGGACAAGAATTACACAGAATATAAAAGGAAGTTCAAAATTTGTTTACATACTTTATAAGTGCTCTACACGACTCCCTTTCGTAACATAAACACCATCTAAGAAGTAGTCCATTTAGTGCCGGAGTCACTAATGCAAGAGCATTAGAAATGAGCATTTTCAGTTCTGGAATTGTTTTTGGCAAAGGAAGCACATACACAAAATCATCCATATAACCCCATAAATTGCAGAAAATCCCAGAACTCAAAATGCACTTGTGTTGGTGACTCCATATATGCTTCAGAATGTATGGCATGAAATGGATTACCACTTAGTTGCTGTTTTAGATATAGAAAAACCACGACTTTCACAGCATTTTTTAATAATTAAATACGAATAATTTTCTTCAGAAAGAGCACAAACATAGCCTTCCATACACTGCTTTAAAAGTGCCATTTTGCATGAAAACAAAATTGTCAAGTAGTAGCAGATGATAATTCATACTTTGAAAAATATAGTTACAGTTAAAAAAATTTCTAAGTATACTATTTTTTTTTATAACCAACTATAATCGTCTAAAAAAAATATCTGAACAGCCTCTGTATTTCTTGTAATATTCATTCCCTAAAATACCAGGTATTTATATAAAGCTCTTTTTATGCTCATTAAATGAGGCCTAATTAATAGAAATACTGGCAAATTTATGTTTTTTGACATTAAATGGAAAGCTGTCTGCTTCTAAAATAAAAAACTTTCTCTGAAACTAAAAAATTATGGTACTTTGATTACCACACCTTTACCGAAAAAAGCTGCTAAAAAGTACTGATGCACCAATGTGCCATGGCATCAAAAAGTATTTATGCGGCAACCCAGGTATGCACATACTTACATGTGGATTTCAAATTCAAGGATAATTTTTCTGATTTGTATTTCTTTTTGCTTTGAGTATATTCGCTTACTTTGCCACAAATAGTAATGGAACTGTGCAATTTTTTGTCTTTTATTTTTATTATATTGGAGTGCATGTTGAAGTTTCACCTTCTGCTGCGCTACCGTGACTGGTGCACTATACCGAGAATAGGTATAGTGAAGCAGTCGCTATTTTTTAATGAATGTATAAAAATAGGCAGCACTGGATGCAATGTTGAAATAGACATAAAGATACTCAAACAACTATTTCTCTTCAAAGTCGGAGAGAATTCTGCAACTTTTCAGTGGGGTGTGGGTAATCAGAAAGTACCAAAATTAGTACTTCAATCAGTATTGAAAAATTTCTAAATTCATTTTCTTATTCCATTGAATATCATAAATTTGTTTAAACTCTCTAATATTTCTGGCTAACAAAACTCTAAAATCAGGGAATGGGAAAGAGAAAAGAACAATCAGAATGCCACATTTTTTAAATGAACTATTCTGTGACGTTTTAAATTCATTTTTAAAGAAAATCTCCGTCCACATATTTCACACTCATGAGGTTGTTCTCCAGTATGTGTGAGAAGGTGCACTTTTAAATTCCATTTGGTTGCAGCTGCATATGAGCAATACTGGCAATAAAACATATTGGGAATAATAGGCAAAAATTTCTTTTTTAAACTTGTGTATGAAGATGGGTTCTTCTTTCTTTGATGAAGACTTAAACATTCTGAAAGGAACATAAACAAATTTAATATTTTTAACAGACACTTCACTGATATATTCAGTAAGTTATTAAATTAGTAATTACATTTAATCATGAATTTGAATTTATGTTCAAAAATCTTATTAATTGTTTTAATTAAATGTGTTTATAAAAACAATTAAAATCTGCTATAATTATTGTTAATAACACTAATTTTGAAACCTTAATTTTTTCAGAGATTGTCTGAGTGTTGGAATTTATTGTGAACTTGCAAAGAATTTTTTCTTACGATTTTCTCACTATTGATCATACTCTCGTTGCTTCTAATTAATGAAAATTTTCAAAGTTTAATGCATATAATTTTTTAAAAACAAACAGTAAATAAAACTAATTAATTAATGTGTGCACTTAAAATAAATAAAATAAATAAATAAATAAAAAAAAAATAAGGAAAAATTAAAAACTGAGGATTTTAAAACAAAAAAAATTTCACAATCAGTTTTGATATGAAATAGCCTCCCCAAAAGTTTTAATAATAATAATGCCTATGTATGCATTAAAAATATTTATGACAGTGCTTATTTTACAATATAAAGATAAAAAAATTTTTTTTTCTTTGTACATATAAAGAAAAAGATATTGTCAAAAATTCCTAGCTATAAAAAAACAAAAATATTTTTAAAATCGAGAAACTTAAAAAGGAATAAATAATTGATCATAAAACTTCAAATTAAGAACTTTCCAAAATGATACTTTACACATACACAGAAAGGGGGAGGGGGAGCATCTTTATTTCCACATTATTAATGATACATGAATTAGCAGTCAATTAAAATTAATATAAAACTATTTCTTCCTGTTTGGAGATTATTACAAATTTTAGGATTGGTTTTAAAACATTTGAGAGAAAATGTTATGCAAAACATCAGAATAACTCTTGAAATCCTTAACTATAAGCCACTAAATCCCATTTATTATCCCAAAAGATTTATTATTGTCTGAAATAAATGAATTATCTAAATATACTATGCATATTATAAGGGGTGTGCAAATGAAAAGGTACGAAATGTTGTAACAATCAAACTGGTTGAAATTTGAATATGCTGTTGGCGTAACCCAGTGAGACACCTAAGGATGCAATTGCAGCACCTGACATGGTTTGTGCATGCACCCACACATCATGCCAGAGTGAAGTAGGCAGTTGTGTACTCCATTCAATTGATGCAGCAGTGAGTGTGATGATATCTTAGTGTTCACAATGCAAAATTCGATGATTGAGGAGCAGCGAGATGCTATCAGATTTTTGAACGTGGAAGGGGTTTGGCCAATATTCATTGTCGGATGGTGGCCATATACGAAGCAGACTGTGTGCGCAACAAGTCAGTGAGAAAGTAGAGTGCTAGTACTGCTCCGTATGCAGCCACATTTGGCGATGAATACTGGCTGGTTTAACCCCTTCCACAGTCAGAAATCTGGTAACATCTCGTTGCTCCTCAATTGTCAAATTTTGCATTGTGAATGGCAAGATGTCATCACACGCACTGCCGCATCAAGTGGACAGAAAACACAACTGCCTGCTTCACTCTGCGCTTGCGCGTGCTCACAACCATGTCAGATACTGCATTTGCATCCTTAGATGTCTCACTACATTATGCCAAAGCAGCATATTCAAATTTCAACCGGTTTGGTTGTTAAGTTTTGTACCTTTTCATTTGAACATCCCTTATATAAGACTTTATTTATCAATCAATCGTTATATAACACACTATAAATATAGAAGCATTATGTTGTATTTTTTTTTTACATTTTATTACCATATGAAATGCATTATTAGCCTTGGGTTTAATTGGACTATTATTCCACATGCAAATTTACTAGTCAGAAATCATTTATCCTAATGCATTCAAAAAATATTTGATGATAAACTTCCACATTGAATGATAAAATTCCAATTAAACTTCCACATTTTCATTCAGAGAGCATTAAATTTTCTTAGAACAGATGGACAGACAATCTCATTCTTTCATTAATTAAAAATATAAAACAAAGTCTATATTAAACAGAAATTTTATGAAACATATTCTGAAGCAATTTTTAACTTTTAATATGTTTTAGCATTTAACTGTTAAAGGATAGTAAATTACACATCATACTGATCAAAAGTTATCTATACTTCCAGTATTAAAGATGATATCAAAAGCATTTCCTACATAATAAATTTTTTTTGGGGGGGGGCATATGTTATACATTATATGCTCGGAAAAGAGTAATGACTTCTATAATCCATTTTTTTTAACATATGAGGCTATTTTATGTAAACAGAAAAAAAAAAAAAAAAAAAAAAAAAAAAGATGCAGGCAAGCTAGCTATAATGTAATGAAAATGCACCCATCGTCCTACATTATAGCATGTAAGTTTTTAACCAAACATAGAACACATTTGTCATCTCTCTTAAAGAACACCGATTTCAGGTTGTTGACAATTTAAAAAACATCTAAAGGACTGGCAAGAAAAAGTTTTAAAGTACTTTCAAACAGCAACTGGAAATAAGATTCAAATTTTAAGTGCTAGAGCATATTTTAAGATTTTGACATCAACATACATATTTTTTGGATGCATTACCTAAACAAACACCCAAAATTACAATAATTAATACTGCAATCTTGGCTGTTTATTTAGTAAATTAATGAGGAAAACATTTCAATAGAGGTCATAACTATCTTTAAAAACTATAAAGAACTAAAACATAGAAGGAAGAACAAAATAGCACCATTAAGTATATATTTCGTTATAAATTACAAATCTGTAATTAATATTATAAATATATCAGAATATGGTTATAAACCACAAATCTGTTGTTAATATGCTGGATATACCAGAATATGTTTATAAACCACAAATCTGTAGTTAATAAACTGAATATACCAGGATATGGTGAAGCAATACACTGATAATAAATTATATGAAAGCTTGCAAACATTAAGAGGAAAATATCATAATTAGGCTAATATGGTATTTTTTCCTATGATAATAATAAAGCACACGAACACAACAAAATGATGTAAAAGCATTTTTAATATGCAGAACATTAAACATGATATTAATAAACATTTAAAACAAGTATAAAATATTGCATACAAAAATTTATTACACAGCTATTTATAAGACAAAATACAGTAACACAAATGCTTATATACATGTATTTAAATATGTACATTCATAACAAACAACAATAACAACAAAAAGGTGTAAGTATCAGTTACCATACATCAATCATAAAAACGAAAGGCTGAAATTCCAAAATCAAAAATTTAAAAATAACTAAAATTGGATTAAAAAAATCTCACTACCAAGGAATGTGATAAATTTAAATTAATACAATAATGCAAACAATGATGATACACAATAAAATATATTAAAAACATCACACATTCAAATTATCAAATAGATATGCAAATAATTCTATTTAAATTAATGCAAATGCATTAAAAACTAATGAAAAAATTATAATATAAAAACAATCCTGAAGTTATTTAAAAATTTTAAAGATGAAAAATTTTGCACACCTTATGGGTGACTAAAACATTTCAATAAACTGATATTATAACATTTTAGTAAATATGACATAAATACTTTAGCATAAGTGATAAAACAGCTGTGATGGAAGATCTTGAATAAAAAGACATTAAATGAAATCAAAAGAGCAACTGAGTTATATTTTAAATTATTATCGAAAAAAAAAAAGAAGACGAAGCAATTTTTAAAGCTGTATGACTCAGATCTTAAGCGGTTTCTGAAAGTGGCATCTTATTTATGTGATTCCGAAAATTATTAATTAAAAGTTGAAATTTAAATTCAATCCTGCCAAATGGAAAAGCAAGATTATTTTTATTGGAATTTCAAACATGAGCATTTTGATAACTAATTATTCCAAACTTTTTAAAAGGACACAATTCTTTTTTCTGATAAATTAGTTAATTATAAATTAAACTGTTTAGTAATTTCAAATGTTTTTGATAATAATGCACATAAAAATGGAATATCAAATCTGTGTATGTCTGCGATGTACATTCTGAAACTAAGTTTCAGCATATTTATTCACAGAGGAGATATAATACAAAGTGAAAAAATATATTGCCATAAAAAAATAAAACTTTTCCCAAATTTAAGATGAGTGGAGTGTTAGCAAAGGAGCAATAACACATGGACAGAATACCAAAGAAGAGAGATAAGCAGCAGATCAATGTGCCCGAGTTCAGTCTAGTACAAATCAGTATGGCAGAAAGACACATGATTAAAATATGATTCAAATGGAATTGTGCACCATTATGTACCATGAATTAGTGCATGGTACTAGTGTTTCAGATATCCACCCCAACCTATAAAGCATTTACAGAAATGACATCATGTCCCATCAAATGGTTACATACTGGTGTTCAGTGTTCAGTGTCGAGTGAAGAAAGGCAGAGCATGGAAGGTGAAGATCAATCTGGGCACACCTACACTTCCACAACTGCAACAAATATCGACAAAGTACAGGAAATGGTGTTAATGAACAGCTGCATAGCTGTATCTGATATTGCATCCACAATGGGTACTGTACATGCTCAAGCCCAGCACATGATCCATTGAGTTATTGGAAAGTATCGGCAAGATGGATACCAAAGGACCTCATCTCTGATCACAAGACCACAAGAATAGCAATATGCCTCAAACATTTTATGTGATACAAGAGAGAGGGAAATGACTTTCTTTTTAGGGCCATCACAGGGTCTTCACCTGTGAAGAGACATGGGTGCACAATTTTATTTCAGAAACAAAGTCTGCCTCAATGACATGAAAGTAGCCCAGTTCACCCATAACGAAAATATTTGTACAGTCAAAAGTCGTTTATCCAGACTCGTCGGGACTTCGGCGATTCTGGATTATCGATTTTTCCGGATTATAAAATCATCAGTTTAAATCGCGTAAGATGGCATGCAGAAATTCTAAAATTAAAAATATGAAACCGTAATTTATGAAAT